CTTTGCTTCTATAGCTTCTCAAATGCTGTTTCAAAATTATTCTCTGTTACACTAAGAATTATTAAACTGCTACAGTTGACATATGTTGAATGGCCCTAATATGAAATTCAAAATGCTCCAAAAATGAAATTTTTGGAGTGCTTTGATACCACAAATGGAAATTTTCATCTGATATTATTGGTTAGATCATAATATAAAGAACACACAATTGTATTCTTTGTTTTTGGTGGATATATTTTACACCACAAATTGGGTATCCCTTCTTGTTAATTTTTTTAGCTAATTTTTTATGTTTGCTAGCTAACTATGAGTATGTCCCTTCAATGGCTTCTCAGCATGGGCTCTGGAATGTCTTCCCACGTTTGCACTCCAGCACTGAGATCAGCCACCAGTGCTAACTAAAATCATTGCAAAGCAATCCTGGAAATAAGGAGCTAAGATTCTAAAATACATATATTGTAGAAGAACTTTGTGTCTAGGGAAATCTCGAGTTAAATAGCCCCATCAAATAATAAAACCAAAAGAAACTCCTGGTATTTATTCAGTTAATCCAGTTTAATTAAAACAACTCAATAGATATTTGTTGAACATCTATCAAATACATAGATGATCAAACCGATATTATTACATAACAGATAAAATTATATAACAACAGTTAAACCTACCTACTGGTAGGTATTTACCTGGAATTGTACATGCAGGGTTGTACGTTTCTGGAAGGTGCTTTTCTGCAGCCTCGGTTTTCCTTAGCACTTTGTATCGGGCACATTAGTGTTTGTGTAACATCTTTTCTATTCTAGATTAGCTCAAGTCTCTTGTTCTCTGTCCCTTCTCTTACAGTTACAGACAATTTTGGTGCAAATTCATTCATCAATACTGCCTGCCCCTTCCTTGTGCCTGATGTATCAGAGTTGTGTGGAGTTTGTTGAATTAAGTGAATTTATCAGATGAGGATTCACAGTAAATAGTGTAGATTCATCTTCTTTGGGGATTATTGCTAATGCCCTTGTTGGTTTTATCTCAGTTTTGATACATGTAAAGAAAATGTAGCCATGAAGTGGTTTTTTTGCTTTCCATAAAAGTTTTGCACTGGATAGATGTGTGTGTGTGTGTGTGTGTGTGTGTGTGTGTGTGTGTGTGTGTGTGTGTATGTGTGTGTGTGGTCTGGGGATTGAACCTAGGGTCTTGTATATAACACATTACCACTGGGCAGTATCTTAAGCCCCTTCCTTCCTTTTGATTTTTAAACAGGGTTTTACTAACTTGGCCAGGCTGGTCTTGAACTCATGCTGTAGTACAGAGAGGACTTGAATTTGGAATTCTCCTGCCTCAGTATCCCAATAAGCTAGGATTACAGGCCTGTGTTTGTAATACTGAGGGTGTCAGCTTTTTAATTTTTATGCTCTTTTGTTTGTTTTTCTATTGCTGTATTACAGACTTTTTCTTCATTTTCCATAGGACTTTATAAAAAGACTTACTTTAAACTTTATTTCTCACACCACTCTAAGGTATACATTTATCATCCCATCATTAATACATTATCATTTGACTCTCATTAGGCTGTCACTCTATAAAACCCTTGAGAAAGAAAGAGAGTCCTTATTCTAAGTAGACCTGATACTTTCCTAAAGAGGTTAGTGCACTATCTAAAATTCTATTCTTGGCAAGAATAGGCTTTTGAAACATCAAGAAGAAATAAAATTTAGAGGAGCTACCAAACAATGAAAGGTGTAAAAAGAATAAAATAAGGAAAATATGGGAGAAAACAGTCGAATCTAAACACACTGCCAAAGGTCAAACTGACATAAGAGTTCCAGGGAAGGTTTTGTCTTGATTTTGAAATAATTTAGTATGCAATAAGAAGGATCTGAATAATCAGATTGAAGTTAAAGTCATGAAATCTTTGTGAAGAAAAGCTATAAAGTCCCTGATTGGGACTGGCAAGAAAACTCTAGTTAAAGGTACACTGCTCTTTCATAGGACTCCCGCTGGCTCCCAATACCCCCATCAGGCTGCTAATATCTGTTTGTTACTCCACTTCCCATAAATTTGATTCTATTTCTTCTGGCCTAAATGAGTACTAGCTCTCATGTGCACCCTGTACCACAATATACACATAAGTTTTTAAAATATCTGTTAAGGTCCCTGAAGATTCTCTAGCCCATTTTTAGTAGCAATAGAGCTGAACATTTTTATGCGAATTTTGCATTCAAATTCTAGACACTGATGTCTTAGCTAAATGAGAAAATGAAAGGGGGCATGTGCTAACCCTTTGCAAAGAAATGCTTAATAAGAGGTGGCAGGGTTTATGCCTCAGTTTCCAGTGAAGCTTTGACAAGACAACACACTGAAGTGGGCAGGTAAGATTTATGTCAGGATATAGTCTTCTGACTTCTGAAATATTTGAAAATGATACTGGGCAAAGCTCCACAAGCAAGGTTGGAAAATGACCCAAGACTCCGGGTCACTGGGCAGTTTTCCAGGGACAGTACTATCTCTGGGGTGATGACACCTGAGCTATGAGAAAAGCCTGTGGAATCTTCTCAACTCCACACTGTACATTAAAGAGGAGCCTCTGCCAAGCGAGGGAGTAGAGTCAGCCCTTTCTACAGATGGGAGCTCAGTCCAGCCCATTTGCCTCATTTACAAACGTCACAGCAAATGACAATGAGAAGTGGCAGTTAGCTTCCTGTGCCTAACATCAAACACATTTATGTTTTTGCTTAAAGCTAAGTATTGATCAGGTAGAAGACTCAAGCAGGAAATATTACTGCAGACAGCAATCAAGTTAGAGGTGAAGGAAGTGTGATCCCTAAGGCAGCTTCTGGGGAAAATTTCAATCAACTGCCGTTAGCTTCGCTTCACGAAACTTTGACATATGTCCCTTGACCTTTACCAACTACCCTTTCACGTTTGACACTTAACATTTGCTACATGATTAAAATTCAGCGTTAATTAATTTCAACGCTATCAGTTCGGTTATATTTAGCTAAGAACACTCACTTTTGTCTTTTGTGAGTAGCACTGCAGCGCTATTACAAAGAGGTAGTCAGGAGGGCAACAGGGATACGAGAAGAGAAGAATGATTCAGTGTGCGGATAATTGTTTCAAGTGAAATTTAGCTTGGTATTTTTGTTCCTGTCCTCAGCAGAACTGAGATTTAGCACCTCCGGCTGGCATTTAGCCCCCACCCCCATGGAGAAGGAGGCTGTGCTGGGTGGATGCTGAGAATGAGCCACACCAGAATTAAATTATAGCACAGTTCTAACACTGGCAAGGGTTTTCTCTGGCCAGCTCTTGTGTACAAACCTGGTGATGCCAAAAGAAAAGCAAGGCATTGCTATCAAGGCTCTCCATATGGTGCGGTGCTGCCCTGACTGGTGGGAGTTGAATGCTTGCTAGAGAGTTGCTTTCCTAAATCAGTGGCCATTCCTCACATAACCGAGGCAGATGCCAGAATACTTAAGCACAACAGATTAGGACATCTAACCTTAAATGGTTACCCATCAAGTTTTCTTATTGATGACTTCTGTCATAGTATGACCAAAACCCTTATTAGAAAGATACCCCTATCTCATTTTTTTTTATTTTCCTAAGTTTTTTTTTTCCAAGGAAGAACATGCTTTTATCAGCTCCTTTGTTCCATGTATCTTTACCTTATAAATGCATTGTCCTGACAATGCGGTTCACTAAATCGGAACCTCAAAATGCTATAGAACCATTATCATTATTGTTCATGTGTGAACTCAAAGTCCTTAACTGTACTGCGCCACTGGCATGCTTCTGTCATGTACAGGATGGGAAGAGAGGCCTACCCTGTTGATAGTGAAGGAGAAACCATTTATATTCAACTTGCTGAAATCCCAACAATTCATGTTGGATTGATTGAGATAGGATTCTCGTGGTATCCCCTAGTTGTTTAAAACAAAACAAAACTTTGTAGGATTTTGTTTCTGTGTCAGAAAATTTTCATTTACAGTAATTCAACATTTATGTTACAGATTCTGGCCCCAAGGCATCATGACATTCTCTATTAATAGGTAAAGCACTTTGAGAATGTCTAGCAGATTTGGGTTCTTGAACAACAACAACAAAATTTTAACCTTCATTTCCAGGTTTCCTAGTCCAATAAAAGAGCACTCAGGTTTATGTCCCTGGTGAGAAACTGGGTAGTTACTGACCACCTTAGGTCTACCCTAAGCTATGTTTACTCTTTTTTCTAAGGGAACACTGGAAAGCTGATCTTGGTCACAGCACAGAAGAACCTTTTAAGCCCTCTAGCAAGAGGTTTTTGTTTTTTCTCTTTCTGTGTTCCTTTATCAGAGTCCTATTCTTTATACAGTCTTATCAGCCTTGAAAACATCACTGGGTTAACCTCCCCGCTCAAGTCCCTAACCTGGGCCTCCCATAGACTCTCTCAGTTAGCTGTGCCCATATTCTTGTCTTAACATTCTTGTATCCTTCACCTCCGGCAGTGACTTGCCCCTTGGATGCTCTGATTTACCTTTCATTGGAATGATCTATTAAATTCCACTGAATACATTGACAAGAGTATGGGCTCCCCTGTTCCAGACCCAGATCCTACCCCACTCCTTTCCCTGCTTTAATTGTCTTTGGTCAGGTCTTGCCAGAATTTAAAAATTTAAAACACACACACACACACACACACACACACACACACACACACACACACGGTGACTTTTAACATTAGAGTAGAAGACTTGGATGAAAGCGGGGAGATGATCAGCTATATTTAAAATAAAGGGAGATTTTGGATGAATGTATTTTTCTGGTTCATGAGTCTCTTAGCCATTTTTGGCTTCAATTGATACATATGACAATAAGAAACACTTCACATATTTATTTTCAAATGACAGATAAAAGATATCTGTTTTGTAAAACTTTCTCCAATGTTGACTAAGTAGTTTACTAAGTAAGGTCAACTGTCCACATGCCTTGAGATTGAAGATGGTTTCTTTCTTTCTGGTTTTTGTTTACAGGTATTGCACAATGGCCTCGTTATGGAGATGGATCACCCCACTGCAGGCAAGATTTCAGTCCCAGGTATGAACTTGTTATTTTCCTTAGCACCTTCATTCAACAGTTGTGCTTTTGCTCCCCATGGTGAGCCCATGAAAATTCTCTAAAGAACTTATTGGAAGCAATTCAAATGCATAATTTTTGTATGAAAGGGGAATGCTATGACCGTACCTACTCATAAGAATGTAGGTAGAAGCTAGAGGCTATATGTCTTTTCTCTAAAGAATGTTGAAATATCTCAGTGACAAAAAATATTCATGTTTACTCATTCCACTTTATGTAGTCAGGTGCACATAAAAAGTACATTATGCAATTTTCAATACACAAAAAACTAATAGATATGATATATCCAGAAAGGCTTTGTGATTCATGTGACAATAGAAATGAAGAACAGGAATGTGGGAATAATCATCTTTCAAACTGTAATCTAATGTATAGATCTTCACCTTCCAGATCAGAAATTTAAATGTTTTCATTAATAAATTTAAGTTTTTCAACATTGACACATATAAAATAAACTCACCAAAGTGTTTTGCTTAAGTGAAAAAGCCACCATTTTCATTTCCAGAGGGAGTCATCTTTGTAGTGGCCCGGAGTATGATGTCACTCGCAGAGACTCCTCTATTTCTAGTATGATGTCACTCACAGAGACTCCTCCATTTCTACATCTCAATACCAACCTGAGAATGATTTCTTGAATCTGCTCAGATAATAGTCATTGACAAGCAAGAGTGTGTAACAGACAGAAGAGTGGTGGAAAGGTACAAACTGAGAGAATGTCAATGTGTAAGCATATAAAGAGGGTCCTGTGTGGATTAGGAAGATAACTGAGGGAGTCGCACACGCATACTGTCTAGAAATGTTGCATAATATTTATTAAGATGGTGAAGAAAACATTAATGAAGTCTAAGGAGGTCATTCCTTTATTCATTCATCCATATAATGAGCATATGGTGCATGCCAGGTTTTGCTTTGGATTCTGTTAATACAAAAATAAACGAGACAACTTGGACACCCCACACAAACTTCATACTTATTAGTTTGTCAAATAATATGCATATGAATTATGAGTAGATGTTTATGGAACTGTAAATAAAGGAAAACAAAGTATGCTGTCATAGTGACTGACAAGGGCACACAGGTCATTTGGGGAATTGAGGGATACTTATTTAGTCAGCTGTTTTATAAACCAAGATTGAAGAAAAATAATGTTTGGCCTTTGAAGATTAGAAAAGCAGTGTGAACCCACTGTCGGAAAGAGCCGAGTGTTCTTTAGAGATCAGGAAGGAGCATGGGGCTGCAAAGGACACTGAGAGCAGAGGTGCAGGCTTGAGTCCCCACCATCCAGATTTACCCTAATCATTGGTAAAAGAGCAAAGCAGCACAATTAAATGACAACATTTAAAAACCTAAATTTATTAATTAAAACATTTCAAATTTTGATCTGAAAAGTCAATACATTATTACAAGAGCTTATGTGATAGTCTCTGAAATGTGGTCAGGATGAAAATGGCAATCTTAGTACTTTTAGACTGAGATCTTAAAAATATTTTGTTGAGTTCCTAATTTTTTAACAGTGAAACTGATTTTTCACAAAAAGTCTCGACATTTTAAACAGAGCAAAGGAAAACGTTACTGGTTCCTCAGTGAAGAGTCCATTCAGTTAGCTTTCCTGCTTTGCCCCTTCCACATGCGAGGGTTCTCAATGTCCTTCCCGGACCTAAGTGTGCTGCTATGTGAACTTCCTCTGAGAAGACATGAACAAGTGTCTTCCTGTCCCAGATAAGGTGCTCTTGACAGAAACAAAGAGATGATCTATTCAGGTGTAGCCTTGTGAATTAGTGAGTCTAATGGTGTTACCTACAGGAACATGGTAATGGATTACTGATGAAGCCTGGCTACTGACAGGCAGTTATACTACTGAAGAAACTGTTATACTACTCCAGCAACTGTTAATCACACACATACTTGGGAAATGGGGCGCTTCATGAGCTCCTCTCCCTTAGCAATGGTTATAAATCTTTGTGGTGTCCCTTAAGCCCTCCAATCTCCATAACTGAAAATCAGTGGGCCCAGTTTTAAGTGGCTATCAGGAGAATATTCACTGTTGATGGTAGTTCAAGAGAAAACAGCCTCATCATAACCAGAGGACAGTTTCACAGCCCCAAACAGAATTCTACACTGACAATCAAAGTTGACTTCATATTTTACAGATGAGGTCACAGAGTCATTGGAATCTCCATAAATTAGAGGCACTTTTTTCTCATTTTAATGTCAATAGAGTTGTTACCCTGACTGTGAAGAAAAACAGAACCTAGTGGATAATATAGAAAAAAATTATTGGAAAGTACTTGCTCCACTGATCAGCTGTGAATTTGCTGCTTTTTTTGTGGAAAAAGAAAAAAAAAAAGAATCTCAAGAAAGGGATTTTGATTCTTTGTTTTGTTTTTAATTCCTATGAGGGAAGACTGTCCCCATTGCTTGGTTTAATCTGTGAATGTATCAGGTAACTATGGTCACAATAATGATACATAACAAAGAAACACAAAATCTTAGTTCATCCTGTGTCTCTTCATTGCATGTATGCAATTAGCTGAGAGTTACTGCCACAGACTGGACTCAAGGGGATTTATTTCTGATTACATGTATGGCTGGCTTGATTGGTCACTGCATGCTTGCCTCAACTCTGCTCTGTGTGTCTCTCGTGTCCTCATGAAAAATGGCTGAAGAATAAGGAAGCAGATAGAAACTACAGAGCCACTTAAGGTATTGACAAAGAACCGGCAAACCCGACTATTTGCCATTGACTGAAGTTGTTTTAAGCTGTATCCATAGTTGAAAACACACATGTGTGCCTTTGAGAAGACTTCACTTACGTAGTAGAAGGTCTGAGCTTATGATGAGCAAATGGCTGGGAGCAAAAAGTCAGTTCACAATGACATTCTTAGCTGTCCTGCAGTATCTCCTTTCCTGTTCCTCTCTGTAGATGATTCCTTCCTTATTTCTATACAGTTCATGGATCGTTTGGGTATGTCTATCTTACTGAAAAGATTTGTCTCTATAGATTTATCGATATGAGAATTATCCAATTCAGGCACATTAATTTTTGGTTATCTAATAGAGAAATACTCTGAATTTTCTACATGTAGTTCTATAGATTTGTAACTAAATATATTCATCCATATATTTATAGTAAGTTTCTTATTAAGTATTAAAAGCCCTACATATATTTCCTTTATTATTAATGAACTTTTACATGTACTGAGTTTTCATATGTTGCATATTTAGTGTCTTATTACTGGTAACTTGCATACAAAAAAAATAATATCTTGATTTTTAGAGACAGATTCTCACTGTGTAGTTGTAGCTGACCTGGAACTCACGATGAACACCAGGCTGACTTTACATCTGCAGCATTTGTTCTGCTTCTCCCTCAGAGGTGCTGAGACGTCATAGTGAACCACCACATCTTATATACAAGTAGTGGTTCTTGTGCAGCATTTCAGTGCCTTAGTTTAGATGTCAAATGCACTTGGCATTCCCTCAGCTAAGAGCTCCTCTATAGGTACCAATGGACCACAACTCAAAGAACTTAACCAATGTCAAATTCTTACCTTTTACTCACAGATTAACTAAAATCTGCTTTCTGTACATTATTCAAGAGTGCTAGATGGACTCAGCCCCTCACAAAGCTTATAGATTTTGGGAAAGGCTGCCAGGGGTTGTAAATATGGACAAGAAGGATGAGTGTTTCTATGGAAAACAGAGGCTACTTCAGATACTCTCAGTGCCTGGATTGGAGAGACCCTGCATGGTATAAAGACTGAAGAAAATTCCTCCAAGTGGTGTGGTGTAAATAGAAATTTAAACACTACCATGGCACACTGGAGGATATGAGAATATGGAGAATATCCTAGAAAATAGGAAGAAAAGGCTCACGGTTACTCTGAAGAGTGATTTAGATGCCAGTTGAATGAGGTCTTAGACGGAACTAATGAAGTTAAAACCAAGTCAGATTCCAAAGCCATCTATGGCAGTATCTCTCAGCCTCTTCTGTAGGAAGTCTGGCAGTGGGGGTGGGAGCTGGAGCTTGGACAGAAACCTCCACCCCAGCAGGGCAGATGATCTCATGGATTGATTTTAGAAGTGATTTCTGTTACCACCAAAGACCTCTGTTAAACTTAGTGTCCTGAGTTTTAAACTGTGAAGTTGATAGAACACGTTTGTCTCTTAAATACAGAAAATAAAGGCATGTTCAAGGCCCAGAAGGGGGTCTATAATGAGATCGACTATATAGCATCACCTGGCTGTTATTGTAATGGAAAGAACTTGCATAAATGGTCACAAAATCTGCCAATTCTCACTGAACCACTTGTTGCATCTTCTTACAATGCCACTGGTCACTGGCCCATTAGCTCAAGCAGATGGAGCCTTCTGTCCTTCCATAGTCATTGAAGTTGCCAAAATGGCCTTGGTTCTGCATTCTGCACTTCAAAGGCTGTCTCTGCAATAGACTCTGATGTGTACTTCTAAAGTTTCTCACTATAACCTTTCAAATTCTTACCCATGAAAATGCACTGTGGCCATTTGACTCCAGAACCTTCTGGGAAGTGTTCACTGTGGATTGTGTCAATGCTCTGAGGGGACACAGCCTTCTAAGCAAGTAAAAGGATTCTAAATTGAATTACCCTGCATGCTTGTCTCTGATCTGTGTTTTCCAAAAAGAGTTCCAATTTATTTTAAATAAAACTTTCCCTACATTTTCTTCCACAGTATTTTAATAGTCACACTTAGAACTTGTCAATTTTAACGAGAGGGTATTGGATGGAGGGGGAAGAACCACCACTTTGAATAAGTGTAACTTGAACAGAATCATTGGAAGTATTTTAAACTTAATTTTTTAAATTTGAATTATTCACTGGAATTTACATGAGAGATATTCTAAATCCAGCTTGGACACAGAAAGTCTTGTGTTCATAAACTTAGGAGGGAAAAGGGCTGTCACATTGGCACTGTCTGAACCA